AGGAGATCGGGCTGAAACTATAGCTACAAGCTATCCAAGGATGGTACTATAGAATGTCACCTCAAGGTAGGCCTAGTGGCGTCATCTCTTGGTTAGGCCGGAAACTTATCAATCCACCCTCGTATATAATGTAAAACGTTATGTATCTGTACAAAATCGAACTTTTATAAAATATAAATCCATTTCGTAAACATCTTTTGACGTCTGCCGCTTTTCTGATCAATCAATATCGATAAGTAAAAAAACTAAAAGGGAGAAGTTAAAAAAAGGCAACGTTAGAATCAAATGCGTTGTAGATACTTACAAGCTTTTCAATTTTGGACAGGTTTCGCATAATGACGTCGGCACTGATAATAAACCGGCGCGATCGAATCGCAGCAGTTCAAGAGCTTCCGTTCCATTCAAATTCGGAAAAATTGACAGATGTCTTGCTTCCGATAAGATTCTGTTAAAAAGAGAGATTATAGCTACATTTCAAATATTAAAGAAACCATGGTTAAAAGAAACTACATAGTCCTAATAATTTTAGTTATTAAAATAAATATACACCATATTATTAGTGATGGGCCAAGACCAGTAGTGGTCTTTACTCATCACTAATAAAGCAATCGTTTTGTAAAAATAGTACAAATACTTAGTTTAGCGAAAATTTTTAAATTGTTTTCTTGTTTGTTTACTATGGATTTTCGTCATTTTAAATATACTTATCCAAATATTTGAATTTTGAATTACTGTTATTTAAATAAAAATCTTTTAAGTTTACAAAAGATCCTTACTTAATAATCGACGAAGTCAAACATAAATAAACGTTTAAAACCACCATCAAGAAGAAAACAAAGAAAAAAAATGTGAATTATATGGAAATTAAATCGACGGTGAAGTCAGCTGTTTCTTCCTACACGTCTTGAAATGTAAAATGACTCGCTTAATAAACGTTTCAATAATCCGACTAAAAAAGGGACAAAATATATTCCAATTTCGAGTCACTATTGCCAAGCTTTTTGTGACAGGCCTCTGGTAATAAAGAACACCTTACATGCTGGTAGGTTTATTAAGATAGATATTGTTGTATATTGCAAGAAGATAAGGTACCCTCATTCGGTCCAACGGGTGTAGTGGTTTCAATAAATTGTTGACCAAGATTAATTTCATGTCTTTTATATAAATTATCCCCGAAACTACCTATTATAGTGTAAAAGTTAAAAAGTACAATTTTCTACTAAGAACATAGGTTCATTTAATAAGAATTGTAATTTATACAGAAACGGTTATATTTACATATAATCACTTCTGTATATATAGAATTTCAAATCTCAAATATCTATTTAAGAAAGTACGGTAGTTACAATTAATGTGTACAGTTTTGCACAAAAAAATGGTATGCGAGACAAATTAGAAGAAAACTCAAAAATGTTTTACTATTTTTTAAAACCATCAAAAATCACTATCCTTAAAATAGTGAAACATCTTTTTTTTCATGATTTTTAATACCTATTTAGTGTTTATTTTATTTTATTGTTAACTTTTAACAGATTTGTCAAATAAAATAAAATTATGCACTAATTATACGAGATAAATCTTCAATATAAAAATGTTATTTAGGTACGATTACTGTAGAAGAATTACGAATGAAACTAAATAAACGCGAAATATTAAAAAATCAGATGAAAAGTTTTGCCATTCTAAGAGTATGTAATTTTTCACGATTTTAGAAAATAGTGAAACGTTTTTTTTCTCATTTATTTTTTAATTTTTATTGTCTATTATCAGGGGTGGATCTATACAAGGAATTTTTGGGCTGCAACCAAGGGCCCCGTGGATACAAAAGGTGGCTAGTTTCCATTGAAAACAATAGATGATATTATGAAGAAAAATATATCCACCATTAAAAAAAATCCGATCATAAGGTTGGCAACCCTGCGATCAATCAATCCCTGTGCGCGTCTATCGAACAGAACGGGGAATTCCCCGTCACTTGTTTTCGATCTGTTCTAGCGTGTGCGTCTATAATGAGGACTTCCCGTCGCTTATCAAATTGACTGTTAAAATATTTTATTGTCGTATTTTTTCTTATACCGATTATAAACAAAAGTTTTTTAACAAAATGACAATTAGTTAAGAAATCAGGTAGGCCCCTAAGTAGTATGAGCCCAGGGCCCTACAAATTCACGATCCGCCCCTGTCTATTTTGGTAATGTTTAACAGCTTTACCAAATCGAATTTGTATGTGTCAGGAACAGCTATTTTTTTGCGCAAAACCGATTTCTTTAACAGTGTGGCTTCCGAATCAACCAAATTAAACTTTCATAAAGTTTATCGGATTAACATCAATTTAAATATTAACGTTTTCGTTTTCCTTTTTCTACTTTAACTGAATTAAAATACAATCCAATTCCTGTTTAATTTACTTATTCAATTCAATGTGAATAAAATCGGTCAGTCAGATCTACAATGTTAAATTTGCAAGAAAGAAAAATTTTCTACACAAGTAATTAATAATAGTGTTAAAAATTTGTTAGTAGTTTCTAAATAATGTGTTGTTGGAAGGAACATAATACTTGCAGCTTGCGCAAACGAGGAAGGAAGGCGAAAGAATGAATGTCGACGCCAGCTAGGGGGTTCCCCTGGAGTTCCAGGAGCGTCAAACTAGGCGTCTTCTGCAGGAGACCTCCTGGAATATGCTTGATACGGTTGCCGGATATTGACCTAAAATTAATAGTAAATCATTTAAATTAAAACGTCCCGTCGGACGAAATTGCAATCATGTATCAAATTAAATTGTAGCATAAAAACAGTAACACTACCCAAGTTAACAGGATTTATGAGGTATAGAAAGAAATGTAACCTACCACACGTAAATTGCGATTTCGGACTTAACAGTTCTCATCAGCACGCCATACTCAGTTTTGATAAATCGCTAGTCAAGCTACTAATTGTAGTATTAGTTCTAGTCTGGTAGTTTCGATAAGTTAGTGACCAAGAACTTAATGTTCTCTATTGATTTACGTGCCCGTCACGTATGTTAGATTACATTAGACACCTTCATTTTAAAGGACTACAGCAAAGGTGTTTAGTGGTTTGTATAAATAAATTAATGTTTATATTTTCATTTTTAATCCCAAACTAGCTTTTATTCGTCTGAATATTCCGATGACATTAATTTTAATTGTTCAAAGTAATTAGAATTGTTGTGACCAATAAACAATTTGAAGTACAAGCGAGAAGAGTTTTGTCACATGAGATTCTGAACAACCTCTAACATTATCGAAATCTTAAGGCTGATTCTCACTGTCTGACTATAAACGGCGGCAGGCCGTGCGTTATCAGATGTCCGTTAGCTTAATGTTGGATTCACATTATACAACAACTGACTATCAGTTTTTCGGCAAGTTTTGGATATTTAGCACGTTTTCGAAACAATTTTTAAAAATTATTCGCTTTCTAATTTGTTGTTGCTCTTTTACTTGAAGAAGATGAGGAGACGGAAAAGAAAAGGAAAACAAGAAAAGCTGGAAAATCAAGAAAATGGACACCTGCACAAAAGTTTATCGGACAGAAAAACTGAAAGGGATTTTTTCACATTGTATAAGGAATTGTTAGATGATGGAATGAAATTTCATAAGTACTTCAGAATGTTTAAATGTCAATTTAATGGTTTCACTTAATAGCACTCCTCTGCTGGTTACTAACAAACTGAATGCATTCTTATTAGTCAACCAACAGGCACCGTCACATTCTCCTACCATATCCATCACTGGCAGACCCCGGCTATCCGTGAAAAAAAAAGTTTGGGTGTTTCATTCCCACCAGCCACTAATGCTGGTGGGCGGGCAGTCTCTCTGGACTACGCCAGAAGGTAGGGCCGAAGACCCTTTTCAGCCTCCTTTCAGGAATCGTGGGAAATGATGGGTGGTGGTTCAGGTGAGAAAGATGCGACGGACGAAATGAAGACAGAAGAGAATGAAAGATTATCTATGAAATATTACTGCCCCAACATTTACCTAAGTGATCCAAGGAAACCACAGAAAAACTAGAACCAAGGCAAACGAACCCGGAATCGAACCGGCATCCTCCCGAATGCTAAGCAATGGTCTAGAGTCTAGACCTCTAGGCCATGCCGCTCCGTGGACTAGCCGTGACATACATGGATAGTGTGAATAATACAATACAATCTTTATTAAACTGATAATATTTTACGGACATCCGACGGACGGCTGCCAGCCATCATCCAGATGATAGTGAGAACCAAGCTTTTGTGTAAATCAATTACTCAACAATATTCGACACGCATTCTGTTTTTTCAGAATGCCCCTATATTAAAAAAGTGAACCCATGGAGCGGCTATCAGCGTGATATGCATATAAACAAATAGAATAAAAATATATTTGTCATATTACAGTAGAACCTCGATAAGTCGAAAACCTCGAAAACTCGAAAAAAATAAAATAATAAACATGCAATTTAAAAAATAAATAACTAGAATGACAGCCATAGCCACAATTACAATCAGTTTAGCCCGTATAATTTAATCATGATAATAGTAAAAAGAAGAAAGTATATTATCTTATAGAGTAGTTTGCTAAAGATTTTGAAAGCGAAAGAATTTACTTTGCAAAAAGCTTCTAGAGCCAAAGCTGCAAGCAATTCTTTCTTTGCGTCTAAATGTCGACGTTAGATCGAATCTGTTTGTTCATCCTTGTCAAAGCAATCATCGTTGGTAAACACAATTAAGTTCGTTTGGACACGACACATTTTGTTCCTTCATAGCTGTCTTGTTTATAGCAGATGGTTCTGTCGCTTTCGGTAAATAAAACTTTTAAGCAAATGTGAATATCACATATTTTGCATACAGAGTGCAAGCAAACTGAGAATCAAGCATAGGAGTATTCTGTTACTTGCACCCCTTCAAGGGCACATCATCGTGCAATATGGAAATTCGTGCAGATTCCTTCAGCCATCTTTTCATATAAGTAATAAAATAATAAAGCTCCAACAATTGTTTTACAAAATATAATTTATTTTATAATGGCCCCTGATTTTCGGTATCTAGGAAGTCAGATAATTTAGGATATAAGGAGCAGTAGAGATATAATGCAGAGNATAATTTAAATAAATGCACATTAAATTGAATTATATTGCAGAATATATCTTATTTGCCCTCCCCTAGGCCAAAAGTTGGATACGCCCATGTGTAAATGCATTTGTAAATTTGACTGACACTAAGAAACAGTAACTTACAGTACTTGGAGCTTCGAAAGGCCGTAAAAAGCGTCCTGAGGAATAAATTCTATTTCGTTGTGGGCAAGAAGGAGATCGTGCATCTGAGACATTCCCTGGAACGGTCGTCCAAGCAACGAATTGATTTTATTGCTTGCCAAATCTCTAAAAACAGCTTCCTATATCATCTCAGCATCCCGATTTATTATTATCGTTATTACTTACAAAACTCTTATTTCCTTGCAGTTGGACAAGTTTGGAACGACGCTAAGTCGATTCGATTTGAAATCTCTAAATATGAAAGAACAAAGGATTCAGCCGAAACGAACGAAAAAAAATAATAAACGGAGAATAAAAAAAACATTCTGATGCAAACATCAAAAGATGTTATCATTTAATGAGGAAAAGGGAAAACGGGGAAAATGACTTTCAAAAGGGCTTTTTGCCTATTACCTTTATGCAAATTAATACGTTTCCTGATAATTTAGAAAAAAGGGTTTAGCTGTCTGCTTTTTGATATGCATTTTATGCGACAACATAAATAACTCGAAATTAGCTTTTTTATAATTATTTTGAAAACACAAAATATTTAAATGTTTGTTGCCATAATGAGTTTTGGGATTATGTAAATTACATAACTGGAAATTAGAAGGACTAAACGATTATTAAATTTAATAATCGATTGTCGATTATAAGAAAATAATTTTAATTAATCGCAATAATCGATTAACCAAAAATTTCGATTAATAAGTGTAACTGAATAATTGATCTTTTAAATTATTAATAACTTAAAGATAATGCATTTTCTGAATGAGGTTTACCGGGAACATTTTACTGTCCGTAAAACGTTTTTACAATGTGAAAACGACGGATAGACCTTCAAAAAAATAAAGTCAAAAGCAATCGTATTGAATTAACAATGTCTTTCTGACTGTTCGGATTAATCTGCATTATTTATCTGCGATTAATCGATTATTTAATTGATTATTTTATTAATCGATCGTTTGATTAAGTAGTAGATTATTATAAAAATCATACTAATCGATTTATGATCGAATAATCGATAAAATTCCTTTTTAATTGCCTAACCCTAATTAGTAAATATATTTATTGGAGAAAAATTGTTGCCAAAATAATCAATATAAAATGTGAAAAAAAAATTGAAACTCAAAAGAGAAATGTACTTAACTGCAGTTTCAATAATTTTTCCTTATAGGTAATAAACCTAAAGACCTTTAAACATACAAACAGTACTCGAAATACCGTTTGTTAATTATTTCAATTGCGTAAGCAGTAATTGTTAACTCGTCAATAAAAAATAATTTGCTATATCAAGGAACCAACAAAAAGAATTTCTCTGGAATATTTTCAAGCCTTCTATATAATGTAAAACGTTATGTATCTGTACAAAATCGAACTTTTATAAAATATAAATCCATTTCGTAAACATCTTTTGACGTCTGCCGCTTTTCTGATCAATCAATATCGATAAGTAAAAAAACTAAAAGGGAGAAGTTAAAAAAAGGCAACGTTAGAATCAAATGCGTTGTAGATACTTACAAGCTTTTCAATTTTGGACAGGTTTCGCATAATGACGTCGGCACTGATAATAAACCGGCGCGATCGAATCGCAGCAGTTCAAGAGCTTCCGTTCCATTCAAATTCGGAAAAATTGACAGATGTCTTGCTTCCGATAAGATTCTGTTAAAAAGAGAGATTATAGCTACATTTCAAATATTAAAGAAACCATGGTTAAAAGAAACTACATAGTCCTAATAATTTTAGTTATTAAAATAAATATACACCATATTATTAGTGATGGGCCAAGACCAGTAGTGGTCTTTACTCATCACTAATAAAGCAATCGTTTTGTAAAAATAGTACAAATACTTAGTTTAGCGAAAATTTTTAAATTGTTTTCTTGTTTGTTTACTATGGATTTTCGTCATT